GCAAGAAAATGCTAGACTTGTGGCCAAGAATTATGAGCTCGAGGCTGAGATCGTAAAGCTGAGTCGGATTATTGAGGAGAATGCCAGACGCGATGTAAGGGTCAAAGAACTAGAGCAAAAAAATACAGAGCTTGAGGCCAGACTTGCGTCATTGGAACAGGCTTCCTTGATAGTGGATAGACAGCCACAGAATGATAATAAAATGATATCAGAGGGGTTACCAGAGGTATCCGTACCAGCTGTTGATGTATCCGAATTTGTAGTAGACCAGCAAAATAATGTTGATACCAAGTCAACGGAGGATAAGATAATAGATGATTGTTTGCTTAAGCAAACACTGATGTCAGAGATGTTAACAGAGATAACTGATGTACATGATGTTTGCCGGAAGCAAACCCAGCTTGAGCAGTGTAAGCCTGATAGCAAAACAAATAATACAGTACCAGAGGTAAGTGTGTCTACTAACCCTCCATTTTGTGAAGAGAATAGGGAGACCGATGAATTCTTAAACACGGTGTATAAGAAGAAGGTTGGCGATGAGATTAGGCAAAGGAAGCGGGAGAAGAAACTTCAAGATAATTCGTCACCAAAGGTAACTTCTCAGAGAGAATCAGATTCAGAAACACTCGTAACTTCTTTAGATTCTGCCATTCTCTTGAATGAAAAAAATGGACAGGGTTTTTCTTTTCCTCAATCAGAGATTTCGCGAGATAAGAAGAATACTCAGGTTTCAGAAAATTCTAATAACAGTCTATCATCTAAACCATGTAATGCTTCTTCTAGCTTCGAATGTGATGAGAAGGTGGGAAAAATTCCCTATAATCTGAAAGTAGAACAAGACTTGAGAGACGAGTTATCTGCTTACATGAAAGGCAAGGGATCCGCTTCACAGAGTGAAAATAAAATATTTGATATACAGATTCCCGAATTCTCCTTAGAAGCAATTCTGATAGGATCTAATAAAGTTACATCACAAGTCATAGTTGATCTATTTAATATAGCAATGAAGGCCAGACAAAAGGAGATCTTATGCTGGTATTGTTACTATAAGGCGTA